GACTTAACGATGTCCGACAGTTCACATATCACAAAGGCATCAACATCCACCGTACATCCAAAAGTTGCAAAACAAGTAGTTTATCATAGTATTAACAAATTTCTTAGACACTAATTCTTGACTCTCTTCCTTCTTCCCTTGGTGTATGGAGTCTTGGTAGATGATGCAGGGACACGAAGGTGTGTCGAGTACAAAAAATGTTCCACTTTTTTCCAAAACACAAGATTTCATTAGCTATAAACAATTAAAATGTCGGTCCCGACAGATATACTCTGAAATTCTCGACAATTCTTCACTGGTAAGTATTAAACTAGACAAAATCTTCAAGCATAACGATTGATAGTAAACTAGACAATATTACAGTTATATAGTAAAATGTAATCTTCGATAACAAAATAAAAATTAAATATAGCCGACTTGAAGCATTATTTGCCCAGGTCGACATATGACTTTTTGCTCCCACTAGCTTCCTCCTCATCGTCCAAACTTATGATAATGACATCTGGCAGTGGAACGTTAGGAATCAACTCAGCATTGTCGGAGTCATCTTCATAAGGTACCATGTACTCGAAAACATCATCGACTTCATGGTTTAATGACAGAGATGATTGACCGGAAAAAATAGCAAACCATAAACACCATAACCTTGTCTTCCTATAGTTTAAGTTAAATTGAAGACTTTGATTGTGTGATTCAGTGAATTGTACGCAAGACTCCTGCTTAACAAGCTATATAGAACATGTAATAAAGTGAAATTACTAAAGACAGCACCTAACAAAGCTAATAGCGCCATCCAACGTGTGTGGAATAACAAATTAAAAGAACAATGAAAATGGATTATCTTTTCCAAATGCAGCTTATCAATGTATCAACTAGAAGGACAAAGTGGGGATTTGTCTTCTCTTGATGCAACTAATCAATATATCAACTTTCTCAGGTACTTCTTTCATAAACAGTAAATACATCAACATAGAAAAAAATTATAATCCAACCAATAACAAGTTATAGAATAAACATTTGCCTGTTACATGAATCTTCTTATTTCTTTTCGGTTAGATTCATAGCAACGAAAAGTTATAATTCGACCTACATATTCTAGATCTTCATCAGTGTGTTCGTCAAGATATCAAAATAAAAGAATCCAATCAAGAGTACCAGAAACAGTTTGAGATCCATGAGGATAGTAATGAGGCGGAGTGCCAGAGAGCCCAACACGAGTCACAGGCTGAGGTTGTAAAGATGAAGAAACAGGGATTTCATATAAACAAAATAAGACGATGAGAGAGGGGAATTGCTTAATTAATGTCTCATTGCAATGGAGAAAATCTAGCATTTGAGTTATCACAAATCAAATAAAATCCCTCATTTATCTACAATCGAAATAAAACCAATCTAAATTTTTTATCAGAAAAACAACAAATGGAACTCATTAATCACTGTCGAAAACTCAAAGCTTCGACATTAAAAGTAAAAAAGAAAAAAAAAAAGTGAAAGTGTTACCGCAAAACATGCTTTCCACTCTCAAATTCAATCTGTATGGTCCTTTGCTATGGTTTTGCTGTCCTCTGTCGCTACACCATTGTTCTTGCCGTCGCTGCTACTATCTTTTTTCTGCTGAGAGGAAAATAAGAAAACAATACCAGATTTGAATTAGCCATGAAGTGAACAGACCGAAACATTCAGAATCGGAGTAACACGAATATTAGTTGAAGAAGACATCTCCATTCCCCGGTGTTTATAACTGGGGCCACCATTGAAACTGCTGGGACTACTGAAACTTCTCTCCAAGTTATTAAACATGACTTCACCAAAGGAAGCTCCACACGCTTGCAATGAAGGAAGCCGGAGCATTGAAGATTTAGGTTTTGTTTATCTTGCTTTTGGAAGCAGGGAGAGAGTAGAGTTAAAGAAGATAACCTTTTGAGGGACACAAAAGTCCTAAAGTGACAATGTTGTCAAAATTATTAAAAGGTGACATTTTTGTAAATACTAATTCAAAAAGTGACGTGGGGTGTAATTTCCTCTTAAATTTAAAGTCAATTCAAACCATAAATGTCAATCATGCAATATTGATCAAAAGCAATAACAATAAATAACACAAATTTGGTAACAAAGGAAAACCACTTGAAGAACTCTTCACATGGATCAAAAACTTATGAGCAAATCTTGTCAAATGACACACTAAAAAAGATAACTTATAGTTGGTCCACATACAATTCAACCTTAATAAACTCTCACCACTTAACCAGTAAATCATCAAAGAAACTCTTCAATTGTCTAACCTGCACTTTTCAGAACATTGGACTTCTTTTTCTTTCGCATGGATCGCCAAGAAAACTCGTTCAGGAACAACTAGAACAACGGTCTCTTCCCAACTTTACAACTCTAAAGGTTTATTGGTGAAGGTAAAAGTTTTGGTATTTGATCTTTTGTGTTTTGATCTTGTGGTTGAATCAACAGAATTATGAAATTGATGTTTGATCTTTGTAGGATGTTTTCTTGAATGAATAATGACTCAGCCAAAGTAACAGAGATAGATTGGGATGAATGATGGCTTGGATATATATAATATGGAGTGTTTGACATTATTTAGGACCGCAAAACAGGCTGTTTTTGCAAACTAGGTTTCGGCCATATAATGCAGTCGCTCGAGCGGCCTTCATCACGGCTAGCGAGTGGTCAACCACCACTTGAGCACCCGGGTTGTGCCTAGTGAGTGGTGCCTTCACTGCAATTTCCACTCAAGCAGGCAGTGGACATTTAGCGAGCGTTTTTGCGGCGAATTCTTCTCCTTATTATATCTTTGGCGTCTTTGACTTTTTCAACACCTATACTACCAACCCTCGACACTTTGACTTCAACTACAATTTAATAACACATAATTTTGGACACAAAATTTGTCAATTACGATTGGACCTAACAGGCTTCAATGAGGCAACTAACTTTTTATGGCTTCTGTATAGCTGCAAACAAACTCGCATGAGTCTAAAATGAAAAATAACTTCATACAATGCAACTGTAACGATGTATTATAACTTTGCAAATGTGTTCTAAATACGTCAGGCAACTATCTTTTTATCACTGTAAAGTTCGAGACACTTGTACTGCCTCATATTCCAAAGCATAGACAATCAGTTGTAAATATGATATCTGATAATTATGTTGATTTTTTTTGTGATGGATATCTAATATCGCTTCAAATAAAGTAAAATTGCACCTAAATAGAAAATACCTGGATTTTTTGAGCAATCAAGATGACTATATATCTCCTCGAGGGGTATGACATCTTGGTAGACATGATAAATTGTCATTAGCTCGTGCTCACTGTGGCTCCCCGACATTATGCAATACTTGCAATTAGATGAGTCACAAATAATGCAGTACCTGTTCGAATCATTCTTTTGGTGATCATGAGTCACACATTTGCCATAATATGTCGTTTTCAGTAAACTATCTATCCACTCTAGCACCGTGTTCTCACGTCGAATTGTGCGATGACCTGAAATAAGTATTTAGAGGAATCATAGTGCAATAAAACTTAAGATAATCGATATTCATCCACAAATACATCTCTGAGATTTTGCGTGTTAGGGTTTTCAAGGTATTAGTTTTTGTTCAAAAAGTCGACATCCAACTTTCATTGACGATTCCTGCTTAAACAGTTGCTTTTATCTAAAATCTTAAAATGATGTTCCACTATTACATTGTTTTAAAGCAGTCACAATTGGTAATTACACACACTTAAGTATAACTTCAATGTTGAATTTTATCTGATCTCGCAGTAAGAAATTATTTCAAATCTTTCAACAATTAAATTAATTCCAAATCTAGGAAGTTTGAAATTTTACCTTTCATGCAATTAGTTATACTCGAAGATTTTTATGTTCCTAATTTATGCGCATATACTCAATATGTTGACCCTTTTCCCCATAAATTCATATTGCTTTCCTGATGAATAGAAACTACATATTCTTATACTTTCTTATACTACATTTTTTTTTTAAGGAAGATTGAATTTGTATACGGTTAAAAAGGTAAATTACTTGTTTGTTTTATTTGATATGTATAGTTATAAGAAAGAAAATCTGAAATTTTAGAAATAAACCTTCTAAGGTCTCTATAAATCTGAAATCAAATAACATGCATTTCAGTATCAAGAAGTAAGGAATCCTGGTTCTAAGACAAATGAGACAATTTACGAAATCTGTCCGAATATATTTGTTGTTATTTAATGGCTATTCATGATAATCGTGTTTCATAATTCTAGAATTAGATTTCTAAATCTTGTGGAAAAAAATTATACTTGAGGAACAAAGACACAATTTTGTTAATAAAATGTTATATATCATCAAATTGAACATCAACTGATGTAAACATTTAAAACTAAATTATAAATAAATATCATCAAATAATAATTTTTTTAGTCGACAAGATAATAATGTTATTCGTAGGCTGTAGAACTTTCGAAATTTTTTAATATATGGAAAATACATGTGTCCCTTCAGCATTTTTCACCCCTCATTAGCGCTTGTTTTGGAGTTATTTATAAATGATTTAAATTATAAATACATAAAAGTGATTTGATGGATAAATTGGTAATACTTAGGTAGTTTGACATAAAGTTGCATACAAAGTAATCTTTTACCATCGAGCGTTTTAGTTGTGAAAGGCACAACACATTATTGACAGAAATATCTCACTCAATCAAAATAAATTTCAAAACTTCCATATCAATTTCGATGCTTTTCAATTTAGATTATCTAATTTCATGAATGTCGAAATTCCATAGATATTGGAGCATTCATGTTTAGAAATTTCAACAATCAAGATCTTCATATAAATCTCGACAAATTGATTTTTCAATTCTTGAATTTTAACTAAATGTCCAATAAGTCAGGGAGTGCACGCAAAATGTTAACCAAAATTCGACAATCGGATATTTTCGATATTTTGGGTACAGTTAACACAGTTCAATCTCAGACTCAACAGAACCTGAAAAATCATGTAACTGTGCACCAAGCTTCTGCCACATCTATGTACTGATCCTTTTCAAAATAAAATTCTTTATGGAAGAAGTCGATCACTAGCTTCTTTCTGAAAAATGGCATACGGTCGAAAGTGACACAGTTGACAGGGATCCCAGCCAATATGCACTCAACGTACTTCACCATGAACAGGCCGCAATGACCACTGCATAATAACAAAACATCGAAAAATTTGCACATCAAGAATAGTTTAGCGATGTAATTGTAGTAAGACAAAACGTACTCTTGGGTGCCTTGAGGTAGCTCCGTACGTGACATCCGCTCATAATCCAGAGGCCCAACTCTAGCAAATTCTGGCCTTTGAAGTCCAATACCGAAACGATGCATTAGGTCAGGCACTAAGTTGCAATGTGGGCTTGCTTCTTCCTGGATTCTTTGGTCACTGTAGCAGCTGTGATCATTGACAAACACCATTAACTTCCACAACAAGAGATCAAAGTGGAACAATATCAAGTGACTCTGGCCAACGCAATGTGGTATCAGTAACTGATTGCACTCGATCCACGGGAGACCAATGGCGTATAGAGGAATACTCAGTGATTGAGAAATGTTTTTCCTTCTTATTACTGTACAATGTGGCTGTAAATATATACTGATTTGAACTAAGTAACTGCTCCTAGACTTAAGCTACCGTATATACATTTTAGCTGTACAGGAGAATTAAATGCAGCAGTTACAATTTGCTTTGCTGATCTTGTGCAGGATTTGTAGCTCCTATATGCCCCCTCAAGATGGAGGTGCCATCGGCAACACCAATCTTGCATCTTAATGACTGAAATCTTTGTCGAGGCAATGCTTTTGTTAGGAGATCAGCAAGTTGATCCATTGTATGAATGTGATGCACACTGATTGTACCTTTGCGAATGAGGTCACGAACAAATAAAAGATCTATTTCGATATGTTTCATTCTTGTATGCTGAACTGGATTCAAACTGAATTGATTTGCTCCCATGTTATCACAAAAGAGTTGAGGTGATTGGTGAAGCTTGAGTCCAAGTTCCTGAATAAGTGAGTGAAGCCAGACTGTCTCTGAGGTTGCACTTGCGAGTTCTCTGAACTCTGCTTCTGTAGATGATCTCGAGACTGCTCTTTGTTTTCTTGCTGTCCATGAAATTGGATTTGTGCCAAGGAATGTTATGAAAGCAGTAGTTGAAACTCTGGTGTCCGTATTTGAGGCCCAGTCCGCATCACTAAATGTTCTCAATTCAAGCTTGGCATTTTTTTGTAATAGAATACCATGGAACATTGTTTGTTTAAGGTACTTCAGGAGTCGTTTGGCTGCTGTCCAGTGACTAGCTTTTGGATGTTGCATGAATTGAGCTAGTCTGTTAACTGAAAAAGCTATGTCTGGGCGTGTGAGTCCCAAGTATTGTAGAGAACCAACTACTTTTCTATATTTGACCCCATCAGTAGGCTCTTCATCTCCTTTTGTTGTGAGCTTGATTGTTGTAGACATTGGAGTGAGGACTTCTTTGGCACTCTCCATGTTTGTTTTTGAAAGAAGCTCTCGAATATAACTGTGTTGAGATAAGAACAATCCTTTAGATGTAGGGATAACTTCAACCCCTAAGAAGAAATGCAGGTTGCCCATATCCTTCACTGAGAAAGTATTGCCAAGCTTGTCTATGATACTTTGAACAAATTTGTTGTTATTGCCTGTTACAATTATATCATCAACATAAACAAGACAATAACATAAAATGTTATCAGTTTTATAGATGAACAAGGAGGTATCTGTGGCTGAATGTATGAAGCCGAAGCTGATCAATGCACTCCTTAGAGCCTTGTACCACTGCCGTGGTGCCTGTTTTAACCCATAGATACTTTTCTTCAACTTGCAAACGTAATGAGGTTTGGTTGAGTCTTCAAACCCCGGGGGTTGATGCATAAAAACTGTTTCTTCAAGAGTGCCATGCAGGAAAGCATTGTTGATGTCTAACTGTCGTAAAGACCAGCCATGCATGACAGCAATAGTGAGAATGAGTCTGATTGTTGCTGGTTTCACCACTGGGCTAAATGTTTGAGAATAATCAACTCCTGGTCTTTGATGAAAGCCTTTAGCAACAAGTCGAGCTTTGTATCGACTTATTGTGCCATCGGGATTCCTCTTTTTGCGGAACACAAATTTGCATCCAATCAAATTTTGATCCGAAGCAGGTGGAACTAACTCCCATGTCCCATGGTTGAGAAGTG